TTGGGTAGGGTGTTCTGTATATGTCCATTAGATATAGTTGGTTTAAGTCCTCTATGTTCTTACTTATCTTCTGTCTGGTTGTTCTATCCATTATTGAGAGTAAGCTACTGAATTCTCCAACTGTTATTGTAGAACTGCCTATATCTCCTTTCAGTTGCATCAGTTTTTGCTTTATATATTTTGCTGGTCTGTCACTGGGTGTGTAAGTGCTTATAATTATTATATCTTCTTGCTGTACTGGACCATTTGTCAGTATATGATATCATTCTTTGTCTCATAATCATTTTTGATTTAAAGTATATTTTGTCTGATATTAATTTATAGCCATCCCTGCTATCTTTTGGTTCTGATTTAAATGAAATATATTTTTACATCCTTTCATTTTCAATCTATTTGCATCATTGAATCTGAAGTGAGATTCTCACAGATAGTATCTAGTGGGATCATGTTTTGTTTGCTTTTGTTTTATCCATTCTGCCAGTCTCTGGCTTTTGTTTGGAGAATTTTTTATATTTACATTTAAAATAATTACTGATAAAGAGAGACTTGCTTCTCTCAGTTTGTATTTATTTTTATTTGCCTAATAGATTTTTGGCACCTCATTTCTTACAGTACTGTCTTCATTTATGTTTAGTTGATGTTTTCTAGTGAAATGTTTAAATATTTTTCTCATTTTCTTTTGTAAACTTTCTATAGCTATTTTCTTGGAGGTTACCATGGAAATGCATTGAAAATTCTAAAATCATAATACTGTAACTTGAATTTATACCAACTTAACTTCAATAATATAAAAACTCTGCTTCTTTAACAGCTCTGTCCCCATCTTTTTTGGTTGTTGATATCAGAAAATTACATCTTTATACATTGTGTGCCCCAAAACATAAACTAATAATTCTTTGAAATGCATTAGTCTCTTAAAATATATAGAAAATAAAATATGAAGTTACAAACTAAAGGTACATTAGTACTAGCTTTTAGACTAATAATTGCTTTTTAAAAAACTCTACTAGTCTTTTAATTCATGCAAAAAACAAAAAAGTGCAACTACAAACCATTGTTGCAATAATACTAGTTTTTATAATTGTCCATGTTTTACATTTATTAATATCTTTATTTCTTCATATGCCTTCAAGTTACTGTCTAATGTTCCTTCATTTCATCCAGTGGGACCCCCCTTGAGTATTTTTTGCAGGGCAGGCCTAACGGTAACAAACGCTCTCAAATTTGTTTATCTGGAAATATCTTAATTTCTCCTTCAATTTTTAAATTTCAGAATATTAAGGAGATATGAACATTTTGGTTACATAAACTGCTACCATTTGAGTCAAAGTTATAAGTGTGTGCCCATCCCCCAGATAGTGTGCATTGTACCCATTAGGTGTCAATTTACCCATCCCCTCCACCCCCTCCTACCTGCTTGATTTCCAATGAGTGTTATTTCCATATGTGCACATTAAGTGTTGATCGATTACTTCCAATTTAATAGTGAGTGCATATAGTGTTATTTTTTCCATGCTTGTGATACTTCCCTTAGGAGAATGGGCTCCAGCTCCATCCAGGGTAATACAAGAGATGGTAGATCATCATTATTTTTTGTGGCTGAGTAGTATACATATACCACATTTTATTAATCCACTCACGTATTGATGGGCACTTGGGTTGTTTCCACATCTTTGCAATTCTGAATTGTGCTGCTATAAATATTCAAGTGAAGATATCTTTATTATAGAATATATTTTTTTCCTTTGGGTACACGCCCAGCAGTGGGATTGCTGGATCAAATGGTAGTTCTACTTTTAGTTCTTTGAAATATCTCCATATTATTAATACTTTCCATAGAGGTTGTACTAGTTTGCAGTCCCACCAGCAGTTTATGAGTATTCCTATCTCTCCACATCCACACTATTTGTTGTTTGGGGACTTTTTCATAAAAGCCATTCTCAGTGGAGGTAGATGTTACCTCACTGTGGTTTTGATTTGCATTTCCCTGATAATTAAAGATGTTGAGCATTTTTTCATATGTTTGGTGGCCATTTGCTACCTTCTTTTGAAAAGTTTCTGTTCATATCTTTTGCTCACTTTTTAATGGGACTGTTTGATTTTTTCCTTGCTGATTTGTTTGAGTTATTTATTTTATGTAGTATAGGATTCTTAGTTGGCAGGTTTTTTTTTTTCCTTTTAGCACTTTGAACATATCACCAGACATAGGCCACTATCACATATCATAGACCACTGCCTTCTAATCTCAAACATATCTGATGAGAGATCTACTGATAATCTTATTGAAGATCACTTCTATGTGATGAACCTCTTCTCTCTTGCTGCTTTCAAAATTCTTTCTCTGTCTTTGACTTTCAAAACTCTGGTAATAATGTTATCTTGGTGTGTATCTCTTTGAAGTTCTCCTACTTGGAGTTAGTTGAGCTTCTTGGGTGTTTATATTCACATTTTTCATTAAATTTCAGAAGTTTTGACTTATTATTTCTTCAAATGTTCTTTCTTTTCCTTTTCCTCTCCTCCATTTGGAACTCCTACAATACATAAATTTGTTTGCCTGATGGTATCCTATAGGTTCTTTAGGCTCTCTTCACTTTTCTTCAAGTTTTCTTCTTTCTAGTCCTAACACTTGATAATTTCCATTGTTTTATCTTTACATTTGCTAACTCTTTATATATACTGCCTTTAAATTCCTCTAGTGAAATTTTCATTTCACTTATTTTACTTTTTAGCACCAGAATTTCTTTCTTTTATTTTTTCAGTTTTCTATATCTTTACTGATATTTCCATTTTGTTCATATATATATATTTTTTTTTCACCGCATCTTCCTTTAGTTCTTTGAGCAGCTTTGAGATACTTATTTCAATATATTTGTATAGTTGATCTGCTATTAGTTCTTTTCAGGAAGTTTTTGAATGGGCCATGCTTTTTTCCTGTTTCTTGATATACCTTGTGATTTTTTTATTATTGTTGAAAACAAGATCTGTGAATCTAATAAAATAAAATAACATTTAATAAAATGGCTCCTCTGGAAATCAGATTCTTCCCCTTTCCCAGGGTTTGCTGGGTTTTGTTGGTTTTTGCCTATTCTTTCTGGTTCCTTTTATTAATTGTTGTAGGCAGTCTCTGTGCCAAGGATTAGCCTGAGGTATAAATTTAAGGTCTTCTTAGGTATTTTCTGAGTTTGCACCTTTCCCTGGGCATGCATGGTCACTTTCTAATTTTCCCCATATATGTGGTGGCTTTTGTATATTCTGGTCTTTTAATATCTGGTTTTAAAAAGAAGGGATAAGAAAAATGAAGAGAGGAGGATGCTGGCCCTTTAAATTTTCTGGAAGTTACTTCAGCCAGAGTGGGAGGGGCTTGCACCAATGACAGGAGATGCACCAACAGTGGCTATTCACTTCTTTTTCTATACATCTGTGATCAGGAGCCACCATCAGTGATCAGAGGACAGATAACTGACATTTGTAGGATAGGGTCCTTTTTGACCACCCTGGTTCCAATAAGCTATGTAAAGGTTGCTCCAGGAACCTGGGCAAAGCTGTCTACAGGAGACTGGAAATGGGGGATGGGTAGCTGCTATTGTACCAATTGCTGGAATTGACTGGAATTGACTGAAATTAACTGAAATATACTGTTCAAGTTTCACACCCTCAATAGACTCAAGAGTTTCAAAATAGTTAATCAGACAGATTCTGCAAGTGTACCTGCTGTCTAGGTAAGGACCACACAGGTTCCTGGTACTTCCTACTCTGCTGTCTTCCCAGAAATCCTTCTCTATGTGTTCACATTTCTTATTAGACACTTGTTTTCAGTTCTCTTGAGTATATACCTAGGAGTGGAATTCCTGGATCCCATAGGAACTCTATGCTTAACTTCTTTAGGAATTGCCAAATATTTTAATATTTCAATTACTTTTGTGAATGTATTTTTAATATTTCAATTACTTTTGTGAACATATTTTTAAACTGAGAATTATCTGGGTGTCTTCTAGTTATAACACCTATTCTATGGATCACTGACTTCTCTGCCTCTTGTTTTCTACTTATATTGCTATTACTCAGATTTACTACCCAATATCTGTCTACAGAGCAGTTTCTATGATATCCAAACAAGCTGAAGGCCACATGCCCTTTCTTATCCTATGCAGGTCAATCTTTAGTCAGCTATGCTGCTTTTTATTCATTTCCACATCTGACTACAGAGGCCCACTAAACAAAAAGTTACTGACTTTATAATTGTAAATATGTTAGCCTTAAATAGAAAGGGGTATAGGTTCTACATGAATGTTTATTTCTTAACATCTGCATTAGGAATCTTAAAAACATTTAATAAATATATTCATTTTATTTATATGAGATTTGCATCCCTACTTAAACATCTCTGCTAATTGTTATGCCATGAAAAAGTTTAGGACTGAGAGTTCACCTACAGTTACAAGTAGCTGGGGGAAATTACTGGGCTGGCTGAGATAACTTACAGACATAAAATATACATCAAATAAAAGCAAACATGCAATTCTCTCCCAATACCACAATGACTATGTTATTGACCAATTAAACCCTGAATTAGTCATAGAGAAATCAGTTCATTCTCTATCATGTGGCACAATCAGGCTTTTAATTTAAAACATTGCATTCGTTTTGAGGGAAAACTGGACATCTTAAGCCTAACCAGTGTTTCTCCTTCTTGTTTTATTTTATGAAGCTCTTGCCTACTTGTGTGAGTTAATATATAACTATTTCATTTGCCTTGGTCTGAAAGCTTTAATGGTGATCTGACATTAAAATAAGGAATGTACTAAGTGTTAGGATAAGAAGTCAATAAATGTGATCTTCCCTCATGATTTTAACAAGTAAGATAGCCCAGAGGGAGTAATTTCAAAGGCATACTTGGTAGATTGAATGGCACTGGGCATACTATAAAGAAGCCAATTCAATCCAAGTGTGATTGAGATAGACTTTATCTAAATACCAGAATTACCAGTTGAGCCACTTACTTTAGTTTAACAGTCAAACTTGGCAGGGTAAGGTACTGCTATTCTTTGAGGTTTGCTGAATAGTTTTCCGGGCAAGACGTTTGTGCTATGAAGCAGGAGCTGGGGGAGGGGAGAAGGAATGAATGTCACAGCCTGGTATAGCTCTGCCACAGCCCAGAGCTGGGCTAGCTGTGGTCTGTGGATGTTCACAGGCTGCAATACACCAGGAATAGTGATACACAACTATGAGGAGCTGCTTTCTTCCCCAGCTGTCCTGCCCAGAGCAGGAGCTGGAAGGTGGGGAACATTTAGGTAATCATCTAGAATGTCTTCAGAGCCCAACTAGAATGGCTGCTCTGTGACACAGATCTGGGGGTAGGGATTGAGTACAGCCCCTAGATAAATGCTAGGCTGCTCACTATTCTCACAGAGTTCTATGGGCGTTGATGAGTGAATACTGTAGAACAGGAATGGGAGTAGGAGTGACTCCATGACAGGCTGAACCTCGTGGAGTAGCCTAAGTTTCGGTTTCCCCAACAAGGGTCCTCCCCCTTCCCCAAAATGATGCTGATTACAACTGGAGAGTCCTGGGACTAGGAACCGACCAATCAGGAGCCAACACGACCTCGAAGCCAACCAATTAGGAGCCAATGCGATCAGCCACTTTTAAAGGAGCGAATTAGTTCTAACGGGGGAGGAGGGATGGTGTGTCCTGCGTTTGTAACCCACAAAAAAAGTATAAAAGCTCAATCTTTACCCCAGGGCGGGGCCCTGGTCTGGAGGGAGGCCACAGCGTTGGTGCTCTGGGACTTGGACCCTAGCTCAAGCTAGCCAATAAACTCCTTTGTTATGCAGCCTCGGTGACTCTGCCTCTCTGTTCCTGGGGCTGAGGGAAACCAGCTCTAACAATAACTTATAATTTGCTGTAAGCCGTGGGATCAATCTCTAGAGACTTTGAATGATTGCCTTTACCAATTTTGAACAACTGAACATTTGTCTCTCTGGGGGAGAAGCTTCACCAAGCCCTTGATGCCACCTTTCTAGAAGTCTTACTAACAGGGTTTTAAACCCAGTCTTGCATCCCTCTAAACTTTCAAATCTTGGGCAAATCAGTTTGACTCGGTTTCTTTATCTGTGCCACAATTTCTTCATCTGTAAAATAAAGATAATAATATCTATCTCATTGGATTGTTGTGCGGATTAACTGATTTCATTTTTGTAACACACTTATTTTTAATATATTTTTTACTACACTTAGAACATTGCCTAAACATTGCCTAGTTTGTACTGCTCTGAAACTGGCTACTTTCCTGTCCTAGTGAGCAAGTTTCAGACACTGGGCTCCACAGATGTGAACATACACAAAAGTTTGTATGTGGCACTATGAACATGAGGATAAAAGTTAGTCCAGCAAGAATGGTTCTCTGAAACTAGGGAGACACACACACATTGATGTAGTAACCTACCTACTATACAAAATATTGTCCAGTAAATGTCACTTTCTCACCAACTAGGGTCCCTTTGTCCTGTAGAGGAAAGAGGCAAGTGAGATTGAGAGAACACAGTCACATGCCACATAATGAAGTTTCAGACAAAGACGTTCGTTCGATAGTTATCCCATAAGATTGTAATGGAACAGAAAATTCCTATAGCCCAGTGATGTCATAGTCTTTGTGACATTGTAGGGCAATTACTTTATTTTTTTAGAACTTTAGTGTAGCCTAAGTGTACAGTGTTTATAAAGTCTACAGTGTTTATAAAGTAATATACAGTAATGTACTAGGCCTTCAATTCACTTACTACTCATTTGTCAACTCACCAAGAGGAAATTCCAGTCCTGCAAGCCCTATTCATGGTAAATGTCCTATAGATGTGTACTAGTTTTAATCTTTTATACCACATTTTTACTGTACCTTTTTATTGAGATACAGAAATACTTACCATTGTGTTACAATTGCCTACAGTATTCAGTACAGTAACATGCTGTACAGGTTTGTAGCCTAAGAGCAATAGGCTGTACCATATAGCCTAGGTGGGTAGTAGGCTAGGTCATCTAGATTTGTGTAAATACCCTCTATAGTCTTCATACAATGACAAAGTCACTTAACAACTCGTTTTTCAGAACATATTCCAGTCATTAAGTGACACATGACTATACTTAAATGTTCTCTTCAACTTCCTACCTTTGTGAGAAAATGTGAATAAGTGTAGGAAAATATGAAAGAGTGAGACTAATAATTCTCCTTTCCCAGAAAAAGTTTGTGTTCACATTTGATATATTTTTACTGGAGTGGTTATTTTTTTGTTTCCATTTACTTTTCTTCCAACTCATTCAAAGAATATGCAAGTATTTTTTGATGAGCACAATATAGCCTTTCAACGGACACATCAATACACTTGTTTCTTCTTTGTGCCAATCTTAAACTTTCATAATTATATTTACATTTGCATTATTTCCTATGCTTCAATAACCAGAACACATCTACAGAATCATTTAAAGCTAGCTGGCAGAGGAAAACTTAACACCATAAAGGAAACAACAAATCAAAAGATTTAAAGAAAAGATTTAGTGAATAGGCCAAACAACTATGACAAGGTGTTTTTAACAAAGGAGAAATATCCATGGGTTAAAATAGTTACAGAAATAGTTTGTAAGGGAAACTAATAATATGCTTATTTACAGAATATTCCCATCACAAATATTTTACTGTAGTTTTAAAATAACTTACAGTGTAACTTTGTTTTAGGCCTAATTGTATAATAACTAATTTATAGTAGTTTTACATTCATTTCATAATATTCTCTTTACAAAACTATTTTAAAACCTACAATTTCTTTATAAATCTAACCTATAATTCAACATTCACGTCACATACTGAGTCTTTTCTAGATCCTTCTATATGCTTTCCTGGTATCATAAGCAAACTTTACAGAGGGTTATAGTAATTTACCTCTAGCATTTCTTTGAGAATGCATATCTCCTAGGGTTTTCATTTATTTTCAGCTTTGATAAGGAGAAGGGTAACTGTAGAATAGAAAGTATATCAATAACACAATAAAGCTCTAAGCCATTCACTAGTCCTTCAGAATTAGTAAAGTCTATTCTGCTATTAAGAATTTCAAAGATCTATAAGAAAACAAACCAGTGAGTTGCAAAATGCACTTAAAACAAGAAGGTGCTAGTCATGTTTAGGTTCTTCCACATAGTAATTGTGCAGTTTGGGGTTTGGCATTGAAGACAATATACCTCAATCTTCTAATCTGCAAAATGAGAAAGTTGGAAATATCAGGACTCAAACCTGGCTGGTACTAGACATTAGAATTACCCAGATGCTCTCCAAAAGGTAGTTCTAGGGTCCACCAGAAGGTGTTGAGTCAAGGGAGTTAAAGTGTGTGGATCAGTCCTATAATTTATCTACTGGTTCTTGGGAAATCAGGCAAATGGATCTAAGTTTTAGAAATGTTGGATCAGACAAAATCTTAGATTCCTTAACTGAGAAATGTAGTTCCATATGAAATAAAAATGGTAAACATTTTCCCCTTCACATTTCTTCATTTTTCACTTCACTTCATTTTTCCCTTTCACTTTTCTGTCCTCATTTTGTTGTAGATAGTAGTCTCTAGTAGTAATTTTTTCAATATCTTTTAGCAATCTCTTTAAAAATCTAAGCATGAAAGCTAAACCACAAGGACATAGAAAGTAGAAGGGATTTCTAGATTTCAGGTGGCTTTAGGGACATGAATAACAAGAATTCATGGATCTTCACCCTAGATTTAGACCCCCATTGTTACTCAACTATGCCCTGCCCATTCATGACTCTTGGTCTCTTTCGGCTTCCATCTGGGGGGTTTGTTCCCCCTTTCAGCAGCAATATCAGAAAGAGGGAAGCTGGCTGATCCTGCTCAACCATTCGTTCCAGTCTATACAATCAACCACACTGGCCGGTGCTTGAGTTGGGTACACATTGCTGGTAATCAGTCCCTATCCATGCATAAATGACAAGCCAGTGCTCCGCCTCTACCAGGGATTCAACCGACAGATTCTTCTTCCATAATCCAGTCGCATTTTCTTTTTAATCTGTCAATATTATTCGTATGATACAGACAACCATAAAGCTCCATTATTATACATAATGTGGATTATTTACTTATGATATTTTCATCTGTGTTATGACATACTATGGAAAAATCCATATTACCCAAATATTAAACTGTATAATAGCCTAGACATTTTCAGGGAACTCATGAGATAAAGATTAACTTGTACTACCTTAAGTCAGTTTAAATTTTATGACTCTTCATGTAATGAGGATGTAAACTGCCGAGAAGCTCAGATATACTGCCATTAAGAGGGTGTGGCATCTCATTTATATATCATATATGCATAAGTTTCCTTCCCTTTGCTCCACAGAGCTGAGAAAGAAAGGGGTCAATATATAATTTACAACAAGAGACCTAAGGAAGGGTAGTGCACCAGCTCATGCCTGCCAGCTGTTCCTAGCTCAATCAGAACAGCCAGTTACTAGTCCCCAATTTAAGTATACTTAGAAGATCACAAACATTGTCCTGTTCCCTTAGAATTGGCATTCAACTTTGTGACTGCTTCTCAAATCACAGTCCATTCTCCACTCTAGAATTAAAACTAAATTGGATATTTTTATTTCTTTCCACTGTTAACACATTGCTGGGTACCATTTGCTATCAAGGCATTGCACAAGCTGTTCCCAGTTTAATGACTATTTGTGCCAGACCATAAATTTCAAGGTGAGCTCAAAGTCATGCGGCACGGCACCAGAGGATGTGGAAATGTGTGAGTGAACTTCCTTGGCAGTTCTCTCCAAGTGATATTTCCGCATTCTTCTTCTGGAGTTCTACATGACAGCAAAAGGGTTGCTCACACAGACGTCGTACCGACAAGAACACAGCTTTAAAAGATCATATTATTTGTTCTAGTTTCACACTGCCCCTTTAATTTATGTAAATACCATATCAATCTTAAGTCAGGACACTAATTGAGATGTTTGCAGATCAGATCTGTTATCTGAAATGCATCAGGTCCTATTCTGAGCTTTAAAAAGGAGGTTCTGGTCACATCCATGCACACAGACTGACAGAAACCCAGTCTCCCAGCAAGGTACACACAGTCTTTAAGATCAATACCTTTTACTGCATGATTGATTTTGCTGATCAGCATTGATCATGAAGACACATTAAATTAATGTATCAGCAGTTTAGTTCCTAAACACATGCGTACACAGATGGCGTCAACCAGATGCTGGCAGTGTAGATAGTGGGTGTTTCAGAAAGTGCAGTCACCACTTCAGGCCACTGGCGCATCATTTGGTTAAATGCAGGCTAACTGCGCTACTTTCTTTTTAGGAGAAACCTGTGCACGCAGACCAGCTAACTGCAACTTTGTATTGGGAATAGAGTCAGAAAACCCATTGTATGCTGGGAGTGGATGCATATCCTGGAGAATGGAAAAAGAAAAGACAAAAATAGAAAGAAAGAAAAGACAAAAGTAAAAAATCAAGGTTCTTTGGTTAGTAGTTAAAACATCCAGTTCCTTATAATAGTCAAACCTTTGAACCTGGTTTGACCTTGAAGCCTACACACACACACACACACACACACACATACACACACACACACACACACACACACGCCTCCCCTGAGTCTGGGCGTCCTGCAGATGAGACCAGTGCTCAGAGAGGAAGACAGGGATGGCCTCTCCTTCCTTATCCTGCACCTTTCTCCTCCCAGGCAGGCCTGCTGGGGCTGGAGTGCAGGGCGGGAGAGGAAACAGGGTCACAGGCCAGTTCTAACTTGAAAGGTGTGGGCTGCCTCTGCCTGTGGACAGTCTTGGCCATTTGCTGGGTTCCTTTCATCCCTGCTAACTGCTGATTTGCTGTTCTCTGGATTGAGATTATTCACCCCTACCCCCAGCCGCTCCCTAAGCCTTCCCTAGGCCTCCTGCGACACCCCTGGCTTCTCTGCAGAGGTCTGTTCACCCTCTTGCCCACAGGAACACGTGTTTGGCCCCTGCTGATCCTAGAAGTCCATGCTACCCGCATGGCTGTGTCTGTGGTCGCCCTCACCAGCTGAGAGCTCAAGCGATTGATCCAACAGCAGCTATACAATCCTGATTTTAAACAGCATTTCATTTTGAACTGAATCTTCTCTTCAGAGACAAACTAGGATATCATGAGCTGTCCAGGCTGACTCTAAATCATTTTTCCTATATCGTAAGTTTAGGCTTTCCACAAAATTATTGACACATAGGTAGTGATAGAAAATTTTTGAGATTACACCATATTCAGGGTAAGGGAGGGACCTTGTTTAATTGATTATAGCCATTTTTCCTTATTTCTTGTCTGTCTCTCCAAGTGGAGAGTCCCAGTGCAGCTCAGATGTCCTGCATTTGCTCAAGGAATGAATGACTAATCCATGAGATGCCAGTGTGGAGAGCTGAGGGCTGAAGGGAACAGGGTTTGCCTTTTCAGTTACTGCTCCTGCCCCAGCCCCTGTAGGATGTGGCCTCCAGAAAGTCAGGGGTTTCTGTCGCTTTTATTCACTGAATAGTTCCTGTAACAGAGACACTATCCCATAAATGTTTGTTGACTGGATAAAATGACTGCTTCATACAACTGGGGCAGAGGAAATGACTGGGACACAGTGTCGATTTTCAGGTAGATAGGGAGGGGCTGCAGCTAAGAGGCAGAGGCTCAGTCCCTGCCCATATGACTTTGGACACTATGTATAAAAAGGGTGCAGTGATCACTCAGCTTCTGTAATTCTGTATTCTTCCCCTATTTTACCCTAATGTTGAGCATCTTCAAAATGAGCAACCTTCAG